AAAAAAAAAAAAAAAAAAAAACTTGAACATTGTGCAGATTATTTAAATTTGAAAAAAAATTCTGAACTTTATTTCCGTTTTAAGTGCATGTATTTGACGTTTATTTATGCATTTAAAAATAAACATGCCAAATTATGTACATTAATTTCTGGTAAATTTTTTCTCCTTCTCTATGGAATATAAACATTTTGCATTTTATTTATTATTTAAATTTATGAACGTGTGATGAATGCAATATTATGATGCAGCTATCTAAAAAGGAGGTAAAGTAAACTCACATGACTTGGTTTGCAAAGAAAAATGCTACAATTCTATGACTTAGAAATCCAATTTTATTAAAGTATTTTGATTTTTAGCATTTGTTTCCCATACTTTTTTTTTTTTTTTTTTAATCAACCAGACAGAACCCACAAAAGGCTTTTGTAAATTTTGGAACGAATACTTATTACTTCTTCACAAATCTACGGTACGATGTCAGATTCGTCTTCTTCTTTTTTTTTTTTTTTTTTTTTTTTTTTTTTTTTTTTTTTCAATACAGTTTTTGCAGAAAGTTTTTCTGACGTTTATACTTGTATATATCATCATCTGCTGATTATGTCAAATTGTTAGAGCGTGAAAAGCTGTCAAGGAATTTAAAAAAACAATCTTTTATAAATTTGTTGACAAATTTTTTTCTTGTAACGTAAATTTAATTTTTGTTTTCGATGAGGTACAAAATGTAATAATTTTTAAGACGGCATCTATTGCGATTTTAAAAATTTCTTTTATTAAGGTTACGATTATTGGAATATGGTACACGAGGACTCTCTGCCTATGTATATTTTTTGTTAGCCCTTATAAGCACTGGCAAATGCTATGGCCGGAAGTGGTGGTCACTTTATTATAAAAGCAATCAATAGGTGGCCTCCTGTAAGGGGACAGACAGTTTTCATCCCTGCCTTCTTCAGGATTTGAGCCCTGGCCCTTCGGTACGGCAGTCAGAGTCACTAAACACTTTGCCGACTGGGCGGCCTCTGCCTATAAATAAAAATAGCTAAGTAACACCCATAACTTTCCTAATCTGTATGCAGATTTAAGCTGTGTGTATTAATTGGTAGAATGTACTGTTATACATTCTTCCTGAATTCACTCTTTGAGAGATAAATCATGTGATATTATTAATTTCATTTTTTGAAAAGGGGATCAATTAAAATAGAACTAATACCCAAAATCAGTGCTATCAAACCTTATTTAGAACTTCTTTGAACGAGGAAAATAAAATTTTCAAGAAAGAAAGAAAGAAATTGAAATTTACTGTAATGAAATAAAAAGAAATAAAATTAAAAAAAAAAAAAAAAAAAAAAAACATATTTTACTCGGTAGGTTAAGCAACTTTGTATTGAAAGCAGAAGAAAAGCACTCAAGTGAAACGTAAAATTAGTAACACAACAAATAATTCAACTAACAATTTCGTTACTTCGTTCATTCGAATTCAGTTAACAATTTCATTAATAATTTTGCCGATAGATGGCACTACCTTCTCATTCGCTTTACTGTGAAGACTAAATACGACCGTTACGGCCGCAGCTTTCCAGTCTTACAGGTTTCTTTGCTTCTGACGAAGAGGGACCTGTATGTGCTTGCCCTCGAAATCGATTGAGATCTTAACTTGAATCTACGCCAAACACAAGGTCGTCGTGTTACTAATTTTACAACTTTGTATTTTTTTTAAATGGAAAGTATCTTTTAGTTTAAAGGACTTTAAGTTTTATTTATTTGATATAAAAGGAATCCAATATACTAACATTACGAAAATGAAATAACCATGTTATTATTATGAATTTCTCAGATAATGTTTTAATAACTGGGTTTTAATAACAATAACAATAACAATAATAATGATTTGCTCCAATTTTATAATATTATTGAAGTAAAAAAGCATTGCAAAATCACTGAGGCAGGGGGGAATATGCATTTTCGATCAAATGTGTATGGAAATGCTTTGCAGGCAGGGGCAGATGTGGCTAATCTGGAATTTAATTATCGGAATTATCAGTATGAATAATATGACATTATTCTTATGTTTTCGAATACTATAAAATATCTGAGAGCTATTAACAATTTTTTTTTTCATTTTAAATTTCTCTTTATTACACGCACGTAACGTTTTTATACTTTGTTTTTTATTTTTAATAACTTCAGTAAATCTTATTATTAAACATGTTATAATTTTCGACAACTTAGTCTTTCAAATGAGGGGATATCATAACAGAATGAAGGGGGCATAAAAACTCCGTTTGATCAAAAGAGATCACCAGTGAAAAAGCTTTGAAAAGCCCCAATGTAAGATACAATTTCCAAAGAATAAGTTACTGTAAATGAATATGTTACTGTAAAAATAAGTTACTGTAAATGAATCTCAGAATGCTTTTTAATGAATTATTTGAAAAAATCAATTTCATTTATTATGTTTTTCAATAAATTCTTCTATATTTTCTTACGTTTATGCAAATTACATTACTCAGAAAATTTCTTTTTAAAACAATAAAGTTTCTCCAGGATAGGAACTTACTAAATGTAATTAGTTATTAGGAAAAAATTTCTAAGATAGTATATCTCTTGTAAGCAACATAATTTAAATAATTTTCAATGGTTTTGTAGTTTTCTTGCAAGAGCTTTCAAAGCTGAATAGCATTATTTAAAAATATGTCCCCCCACACTTTAAATTGTCGTATAATAGGTATAACAAGACTTCACATCTCTAATCTCCAGCTGGTTTTTGCAACTTTTGCAAAATCAGGAGAATTATAATAGCATTTTTCTTTGATATGTAGCAAAACTACGAATGGATAAAGTAACTCTCCGCCAAGCGTTTATAATTGCTAGAAAAAGATCATAAACCTTATGTTGTAAGCAGTACATTAGATTTGTGTCCCCTCTTGTAGACATAATGGCTTTGGACCAGATACAAATGACAAATTATTTCTTTATTCCAGAATCGCCACTCTTTACAAAAGAAAATCTCACAATAAGATGATCATAATAGAATAGTTTATCATTTTAGAGGATAAATAATACTGAGACCGAAGTATAGAGTTTTCTCGGAAGTGGTTATTACATTTGAGATAAACGATTGCTTTATCAAAAGGAAAGGTAGAATTACTTTTGAGACAATTATCAAACGTAAAGGTAAAAGGGTAACATTTCATTTTTAGACAAACTCTATGGAGGTTTCTGAGTTATTTGGAGAAAAGACATCTAGACTGTGTTGTAAAGAAATGGGACAAGGTACTTACTTTGAAGGAGCCCATTCATTTTGAAGCAACACTGTCTACATGTGTTGAAATGAAGAAAATCCAAAAAGATTTATTTTATATCTCAGGTGAAAAGTAGTAAACTAACGACAGACTGGTCGAGAAAGGTTCGCTGACAAGACGTTTAGAAAGAATAGGGCTTACTGTGTGATACTTTCTGTCCATATAAATTTTCATTACTGACTATTTGCTACAGAATGGAAAGCTTCTTTAAACATGAATAAGCGAGCACATTATAGCCATAGGGCAGGTGAAAATTACGTTAGCAAATTGATATGAAACTTTTCAAACTCTCCTAAGAACTCTGAGTGTACTTTCTGGTGTACTACATCTGCAGAATCTGCAAATTAAGTAATTTTACTTCTTTGTTTTGTACTGACTATTAAGCATTTTGCGTAGCGCAAACTTTGTCACAATGCAAAAATAAACTAGGTTAATATTAAATAATGATTGCATTAAGCAAACAACATCTGTTAATTAATTTAATGGGTACTAATGGTAGTAAAAATTTTAATAGTAACTTTTAACGTGTATTCAGTATCTTAATACTTCATGTAAAAAAAAATTCTTATTTATTAGTTCTTTGTTAAATAATGCATTAATAATTTTGGATAATTATTAATTATTAATCTATTATCAATAATTACATGTTAACAGTATTTTCCAAACGTATCGAAAAACACTGGGTATAACATAGCTTGACTCCATATAAATGCGAATGAATCCATCTGAATTTTTAACTCTCTTCTCCCTTTTGCTAATTTAACAAAGAAGCATGTTGAAACATATTAAAATCGTGAAATGTCAGAAATTAATTTGTTAGTGCAGATAAGAAGCAAATGTGACTGTGAGGAATATGTAACATTTCGACGGATGACGATAGATTACGTAGGCAAAAATTTTGATTCAGTCTTTGAAATTACTTATCCTAAAATAAGTTCTGCAATAATTACTGAGTGGTTTGTTTCATAAAGCTCTGGAAATATATTTGCATATTTCAAAAGGTGTTCGGCGGCCCAACAAGAGGAACCCAGCGGTAAAATCAATGCTCACCTGTTTATGACTGAAGCATTTCACATATTTAGCTCCCCCCCCCCAAAATGGAGAATAAAAAAAGGGAGGAGAAAGAGAGGGAAAAATATGTGCCTTTATTTTTCTTCTGTCCCTCGTAATCATGGATTAGATTAGCCGAATGATTTTAGAAATTATTTATTAGAAGGACGTTTAAGTGCCAATTTAAATTACTTAAAATAGCGCCATCTTTTATTTTTCAGTTCATTTCTTTCTTGTTGCTGCCTCTAAAAGTGATCAAAAGCGGACTATATTTTAAATATGATTACTTTCGTATTTCTGTTCTTAGATCCGTTTCTGAAAGGGGGGTTAATATGTGGTTAGGATGCGTAAGTCGTTACCCAAGCATAAAGGGAAGGCTACTCAATGTTTTTATTAAATTTCGTAAAAGGTTTCAAGACAGAGCTTAGGATCGTTCATCGTCAACTGCGTCATAAATGCCTCCGAAATCATCATCGAAGGTCGGACCGCCCTATCCAAAAATTTTCGCGGGCTCACCCAAAAAGCTTTGAAGAAAAGACATCCGTCCCCCTCTTTTCCCCCCAGCTCCAAACCGAAACCTGCATTTGGCGACGAGGTGGAGCGTGTTGTGGCAACCCGCGTCGCACGCTCTGAGTCCGGGCAGCCCGTGGCTATGATTAACCCTTACTCGGGCTGCGAGGAAGCCCGATCGTAGGAGTGTCAGACGGAGCCAAGCGCCCGCGCAGAGTGCATGGCTGCCCGAGGTGCCGCCTCCGAGCCGCCGAGAGCCGCTTTACTACCGCCAGCAGCAGCGGTGTCTCCGGCAACGCCCCGGCCTAGCCTCAGTCCATCCGCCGCGGCTAACTTAGACCAAGCTACTGCGGCCGCTTATGCCGGACATTTCTCGATCACAAGGTAAGCCTCCTTTTCCTATTCGCACGTGTTGTTGTTCTTTCGATTCTAATGTATCAAAAAAGCTGTTTGTTTGATTACTAAATTTATACAGCTTCTTAATCTTCCCCAAACTTACTACTCCCCTCATAACCTCCTCTTAGAAAAAAAATTGTTTCATTTAACGATGAATCGGATTTAAAGATAATGATAAGGAATGGATTTTTTAAACTTGAGAAGAATTTTGACTACATTGTAGTTCGCTTAGAATTTTGACTCTTACTCAAGGTGCTGTAATGAGATCGAATTCTGCTTAAACGATCATTCATGCTTAGAATCTTGTAGCTAATATTTGAGTTAAACTGTTAAGTTTTCGTCTGTTTAGATAAATTATCATATTGGAAAAAACACCAAGACCAGGTCTAAATTGGCAAAATACGTAATTTATAAATAAAAATTGTTTTGATAATCGAAAAGTTTTTTTCTGGGGGGGGGAGAATAAACAAAATAAATCTCTTCACAGTGAAATAAGAAGGCTATTATCAATTATTTGTATTTGTGAGTTTAAAGGTAATGAGTTTTATCAAATTATATCCTCGTGTTGAACTTTTTCCCCTCACAAAGTGAAATCTAAAATTTAAACTTCGTGTACAAATACAAGTATTTTTCTTACTTTATTGCTTGGAATGTAAGTTCTTGTTTAGTAATTGTTTAAAACGTTTCCACAGCATTTGGAAAAATTGATTATTTCTTCTGAAGGCATTTCGGCTAGTGCTCCTTCCTAAGACACCGTAAATAGGCTTCTATGAGTTCACCGCTGATCAATTGCCGTTACATAGTAGTTGGAACCTAAATTCGGAGAGGATAGCTAGGCACGTGTTTCGCGAAGTTGTTTACAAACACCGTTGTTTCGCATGCTTTTAGCCTTCTTCCTTCAGGTTCTTCTCTTTATGACGCTGCACTGGAAATGCGTAACTAAGTGCAGTTATCGAAATATACTAATATCTTTCATTTATCTATTTCATTAAAAGTAGTAAAGAAGTATGGTGCAAATGCAGATATTTTATAATCAAATTAATAGCGATCGTGCCTGTCGCACGTAAAGTAACTTCTGTCATTTTTCAGCGTTGACACTTTCATAAGAAAAATCATTTTATTTTCTATTTTTCATACTCATGCCTTAAATCTGTTCTTTTATTTTAAAAAGGGCTCCTCTGAATTAAAATTTATTACAATATTCGCATTTTTTTTATACTTTTTTGTAGAATAGAATAAGAGTTTGGTACTCTTCTTGCAGTTTTTGCGAAGCAACGCAAATTATTTGACTTTATTTCAGCAAATTTAATAATAATACTGTTTTTCTACTTGTTAACAATGACGACTTTTGACAAAAGCGTAATCATATCAAATCATCAAGAAATGTTTAAAATTCATATATTTTATTATAAAATGCTTTTTTGTCCATTGAATGATTTCGAATAATAAATTGCTCAGTTGCTTTTTAAAAATACATTTCTCTTTCGCTATGAAATTTGTTTCTTAGCAAATTACGAATGAAGCATTAAACTTTCCTTTGCCGTACTTATATCACATAAGAAGTGAACAATTTAGCAAGAAAGTCTCACTTTTTTAAACTTCCGAACTGCTTAAAGATGTCTAATATTATTTAACAATGGCTGACCATTTGTCTTCGAAGTACTGAATTATAATTTTAGTAGTAATTCAGCATAATTCAAATGAGAAGAAATAAACTCAAGCTATTTTTTTTTTAAAAAAAAAAGGTCATCTGAGAAACTTCAGGTGATCAATTAACAGTCAACGTGTATTGTATGAATGCTACTTAAGTTTTACCGTAAGGAAATGCGTAGGAAGCTTTTCATTGCTCGTTTCTCATAACTCCCACAATAAGATTTAAGAAATGTTACGCTCCATTCGTTTCGTATACAACATATTATCAATAGATATTTTTCTTACTTCAAAATTAATGAACCATGCTATTTCAGAACTCCTCACTTTATTTCATACGCTATTTCTATTAAGAATATATGTGTTTTTATGAAATAGCACTCATTAGGATAAGGATACACCATAGCTCACTTATAACTGCACGTATTGTAGAGTTTCGTTACGTCAAACACTTCTATAATTAGTACGACTTCAGTGGAAAATTCTTATTTCAGTGTTTTACAAATCATTTTAATGCTTAACTGCCTCTCATGAAAGAAATGTGCATTCTAACTGGGTTCCTATAGGATACAATATGGCGAATATGTATTTCACTTATCAGCAATCTATATTCCATCTGAATAGTGGTGCTACTTTAAACGCTTTTAATAGTTTATATGCCTCACCGGTCTCTTGGGATCACCCTTAGACTAATTAAAATATTTTTAGCGCTTAGCATGTTAAGTACTTTCCCAGTAAAGTCAATAATTCAGTCGAGAAATTTTGGGAATCGTAATTTTTGTTATTTCATAAGAGATCCAACAAATTTCAAAGCAAAACTAAACATGAAATTTACGACTTATACCATAATTATCATTATTCAATCTGTGCAAAATGCAAAAGTCTTTTTTATCAAAAATATTAATAACAGTTTTTTAATATAATAATTTTCTGAAAAGGAAGCGTTTGAATAATGAAATTTATAAAATTATACATCTGATTATAAGAAAAACTGTTTGCGAATCAGTAGTTTCGATGAAATTTTGAAATCTTGTTGAGCTGTTAATGAGAAAGCTTTAGAAAAAGGGCTCAGAAATATATATATAATATATATGCTATATATATATAAAGAATTCGATAAATTCATTATCAAAGCCGTAGCTTTCAAGTGCTAGTAGTAGAAACGGAAACAAGTAATATTCTTCCTAAGCATTAAATCGAAGGAAACTATAGTACTGTCTTGGAGGAAAAAGTTTTTTCATTGTTTCTTTTCATCGACTTTTTTTGTCTCAGTCGATAAGATTTACAGCACTAATGAGAAAATAATAAAATTCTTTCTTAGACATTGAATTTAAAATAAAATTTTCAATCTAAAAATCTATTCCTTAATTGAATTTGCTTTAAGAAATCGAGTAGAAGCCATATGGCAGCAGAAATTTCTTTTAGAGTACGTTTCTTTTATTTTAACACTTGTCCAGTTGCTCAACGCACTGAAAGTATTTGTCATTTGTACCTGAGAAAGGGACGGACAGGAGAAAAAGAAATTAACTAACGCTAAGAATTATTGTTTGAGTAATGAAATAAAGATTACTTTCTTTAGATCAATTCTTCTTTCGAAAGACAGTATACGCAGCACGTGACAGTAAATTAATCTTAAGAATATACTTGAAAATGTGTTCCAGAACAAAGAGAGAAAAACGTTCTATTTGGATTATTACCATTTGCTTCAAAACGCTACTGTTGCACCGGTTTTATAATTTTCCCTTTTATTTGCTCTATGATTGAATAAAAGATCATTTAGGTCATGATGCTAGTGATCTCTAGCATCATTATCTAAATGCAATGATAATGCGAAAAATGGAAGATTCTTTATTTACAGAATACTGGCTTTTTCATTTAATAAACCGGTTTATATCTCTGCATATGTTATTCTATGAACTAATCAAGTTTTCAATTGATGAAAATGTAAGGTTGGCTATATGTTACGTGCAATGCTGTTACAAAAGGTAGCATGCAGTTTGGGAGACTTCTGTATTTGATTTAACTTTCCTTACGTTTCGAATATGATACCTTTATTTGCACATAAATTCAAATAATTACATGTATTGTTATTAGTTCACAAAATCTTTCTGCATAAAACTTTTTGCTACCATTAAACAGAATTTCTGTGTGCGGCGGTAAAATGTGATGAGGACTTTTTATGTAGCTATGGAATAAGGACTAAATATTGAACAAATAATTTAATATTTGAAAGGGGCAGACTGTTTTATGATTTTGCCTACTAGTTACCCACAGAGTATTATTTCTCTTCAGCTTAGTTACTCTTCAGCTTTAACAGCGACTTCTACATGATAGACCCGATTTTAAAAATCATCTGGAATCGATAATTCTTTGATTACGTCCACAGCCCAATTACCTAATGAAAATTATATCAGGGTTGCTGTTTATGTCGATGCAGGACAAAATTTGATGCTCAGATGAAAGAATTTGATTCAACACATAGTAGTAATAAATGGGAAAGTGGATAGCTGTAATTTTTTTTTTAAAAAAAAAAGAGTTTTGGAAGTGATAACTTATTAATCTGGACTAACAAAGCTTTGAAATATTGGGAATGATTAGATAAAGTGGAAGAAGAAGAAACTGAAGATCGTGATATAAAACACTGGAATTTCTTTTATTCGCGTATACAGAATAAATTAAAGATTAATGCCAAGGCAACGTAATTTGCTGTCGTATCTCATTCATTTGGAATTTAAAATAATTAGGATTTTCTTCCATAGCTTTCAGAGCTAAAGTAATTTAAGAATTATTCTCTACTAAATATGCGTATATAGTCTCTACTTCATGTGATTCCTGTATCTTTTCCAAATTTCCTATTGTTTTTCAGTGAACGTAAGTTTTATTAATTATTATTTTTTTATTTATGTAAGTATTGCAAACATCATCAGTTTCAATCCGTGTAATTAAGAATAATATATGAGAGGATTTACTATAAATCCTTGAACCTGTTTATGGCTGGGAAAACAAAAGTAAAGTCCGTTAAATCGAATATGTTGAAAAAAATAAAAATTTTATATCTTAAAAAAGTAAACTTCTCAATGATTAATTTTGTTTAGCAAATTGGTTAAAATGTGTGTGTGATTATGGCAAAGCCTCGAGGGCTATCTGCCTAAGAGGAGGGATGCCTTCGTGGAGGACTTTCTAAGGGAAACTGACTCGTATACACGTTACACATGGGGAAAACCACGAAAACACCCATGCAGCCAGCCCGTTCGCGGGATTCGAACCTCGGACCGAACTACCAGTGTTCAGCGACTTTACCGCTCGACCGCTGCAAATTGGTTAAAAATACAGAAACT